ATTGAACAATCTTACCACTGTTTTAGCAAGGGTGCTGCAAATGTGTACACTCTGGTTCGTCATGTCATAGTTATTTTACACCCCGCATTTCGACTAAGGGGGGAGAATGCATGCCCACGGGCCGAAACGTTTTGTTGCACCTTGGCGTGATGAGCGCTCGGCGTGCAAGAAAAAATCGATACGCACGAGAGAGAGCATTCGCAATTTCCCCGCTCGCACGCGCTCGCACGACACCCCCGCTTTGGCACTCTCCTCAATTATTCAACACCGCACAACAAGCCAGGTCGATTCCGAAACGCGTGCCGATCAAGCAAAAGCAATTATCCGGCAATTTGACGAGCGAAATTGAAAACAATACTGCCCTTTCGAGATAATTTAAAGTCCCTGGCCATATTTTGGGGCATGACTAAATACGTGCCGCAGTGGCGGCACTTGGGCATTATGTGTGCGCGCACACAGCCTCCCCTTGTTAGTATGCAACCAACACGACGCGAGCGGCATCCCCCAGTGATTTATGATGACTGGCTGTTGTTGTTTCAGATTATGCTTGGGGGTACAGGTGTATAATAATGCAGCACGCCTTTCATCTCGTTGAAGCAAGAAACGCGTTTTGCAGACGCGCGCACGCAAAAAAGTGTCAGGGCCAGAGTTATAATTTAGCTCTGCAGTGCGAAACTGCACAAAAAGAGATCGAGGAGTCTCTCGAAAAACCAAACAGCTTCTCGCGCCGTGCAAATATTATCCTTCCGCTTCGCGCTCTTTGGCACAACTTTTAACCCTTTTTTTGCCCTGTGTGTTATGGTGATATATTCTTTTTTATCACTGCGGTGCGATCTGAAAGGGTAAACATTCTGGCGAATACGCTGCACACACATATATGTGATGCGCGCGAATATCACTCGGCTCTTTCTTGCTTGTGTTTGCCGGGGCGTGTGTGTTTATACACGCGGGTTTTTCTCCTCGTGTGTGTGTGTATGCAGAGCGGGTTTTGAAAGACGCGAAACAAACACGGGATTAATTGGATTTCTTGTTTGAAATCTGTGGCCACGAACCGTGTATCTATAGAGAGGAGCAACTCGGCGTTCGGGATTAGGCTGGCGAAACGAGAAGCGGTGCGGAAATCGAGGACGGCTATTTATTTTGCAACTCAGACATCCACTCCGTACATGTTTTCCTCTTTTGCAGTATCAATGGGATTAATTTTTCTGCTCGGATAACTCGCGGATGAATAACAATATTTGCTCTCATACAACATGTGGAATGGCGGTCTAAAAGAGCCCATATGAATATATCCCAAGAGATATACTTTTTTTATGTGTGATAAAATTTAAATTCTTAATTACTTTTAGGAGCAGCTAAAATTTTTATTAGTAATAATTTATAGCTTTAATGAGTTGATTGTCTGCCAATTAATCATTACAAATTTTTTAGGGCAAATATGAATTCAAATATTGACGAGCTCTCGAATTATGGACTTGAATAAATAAAATTATATTTTATTTGAAATTATTCTTCAACTTTGGTAAATAAACTTTAGAGTTCCACCAAAGATTTTAAATCTTCACACCAAATTACAAATTTTAAGGTAGATGCAAAACTTTTTGCATTCTCTCTTGAGAAAACCTCCATCTACGCCTCCAGCATTTCTCTACAGTGCCAAAGACCCTCTTAAAAAGTCTTTGAACTTCGCAGAACAATAATCTGCAACACCGAACCAAGTTAACAAGAAACACACAGGCATCGCGGGCACTTGAACGGGACGAGGTGTTTGTTGTGCTCCACGCGTTCAACAGGGATTAAAAAGTTTGCGCTGCTAGGCGGCGATGAATTTCGCAGCGAGAAGACGAAATCTCGGGCGGAGATGGTGCTCGAGTCACGTGCCGCTGGCTAAACAGGCTCCAAACCCCGGGACAACTTTGTCACTGCCGCACGAGATAATTGAAACACGCATCACACACGGAGAGGGTGCTCGTGGAAAGAAGAAGTGCGACCCGCCACGTTACACAGCCCATCGAAGTGAAGGCGCCAAAGTGTGTGAAGAGTTGCGGGTCACGAAGGTCACGGGGGAGAGCGTGAGATAAATAATCTAGAAGGCGAAAGATGGAGCGCAGGGCGCCGAGAACAGATATATATCTATTCACCATACGCTGGCCAGACGGTCGTCGCTTTATCTCTGCCGGGGAAAAATCAGGCGCCGCAACAAGGGTCACTCCGCGCTAAAGACATGATTACCGACCGAGAAGGAGGAGGCGGAGGATCAATAAATAAAATTGGCACCACAACTGTCACTGCTCTCTTCGGATAGGGAAATAATATGGTTCGAGAGAGCAGGGCATTCTTCTTCGCCCAACCAATGTAGCTCATCACACGAGGGTAAACACGGGTTGTTTATTCGCGGAAAAGGTGAGGCTATTAATAATAGATCCATCGGATTGGAGCGAGGATTTATTGCACACTTCAGGACGTCGGAAATAACACGAGAGGCGATAAAAGAGCAAGAGTGTTTGCTTTGATCAACTTTATATACAGCTCATTAATTATCTTTTTTGATTGCATTCAAAATGGAAATCTCATTTTTTGCAGATTTGATTTTTATAAGGAGTGATCCAAAATTTTGAAGACTTGCTTTCATTTTTTTCTTTGTTGTTTACATTGAATTTTTCTAGGTAAAAGTATGTTTCCGATTGGGCAATTTAACAATAAAATATTATATTCCATTCTGATGGTGCTTGTAAGGATTATAAAACTGATTTCAATTAGGTAAAGATAGACAGATTTGTTTAATAAACAAAGTATAAAAAAAACTGGTCTTTATGGAGAAAAGTGGGCCTTTAAAAATAATAAAATATGGATCCATTATTATTGTTTTGATTGTTTAAATGTTTTAAACTAAAATTCACCTTATATTATTATTTTTTTTTTTTAAATAATAAAATTTACATTTTAAGGATATTTTTATCTACATGTCTGGAAAAAAATTGCAAAAATACAGTTGATATTGAATGAACATGTTGAATATGCGGAGTGGGGGATTTTGTGGTGCTCCTCTGCTTTTTTATACCCTCGCTCGTCATTATAATATGCGCTGTATTTTTAGCAGCAAGAATCGATCGGTTATTCGCATATAGCACATAATAAAATACATATGTGCATACAAATTTATCCACGCGCACACATACAATGCGAAAGGGCCCGGGCCGAGATTGGCGTATTGCTGGCAGCGGCGGGTCATCATTTTTGAGTGGCGAAGACGGAGGAGGCTCGGATCGATGTCCGCTGACTGACTGGTGGCTAATAGCCTGGCAATGGCGCAGAATAAAAAAGAGAGGCGTGTGTTTCGGGCCTCTCATTATTGTGCCATATACGATTCAATTTATTTCGAGTACACATGCATGCATGCGCGTTGCCGCCGCCTGCTCTGGCAAATTGACTTTCCGATATTCCATCAACTGGTGTGCTGCGAGCGAAAATGCCGGCGGGGGAGAAAGAAAAAGCCAAAGGGTTTGCCATAACAGGCAGCAGCAGGGCTTCCGTGCTGGCGGATATCGTTTTCGCCCTAAAATTGGAATTTTCATGCGGATAATGAGTGGAAATCTACTTAAAGGCTGGCAGCAATTATTCTGTAAAATAGCCAGTTAATTGACCCTTTCATTCACCGGGTGTCTCTCTTTCTCTCTCCAATATGGCTTCTGCACGCCGACGGTCTGCTATGTGAGCTAAGTGGGGCTATTTGGCCAAGTCGACTCTCGAGTGAGTCCTTTTCAAAGAGCGCGGCTTTTATCAAATTTCGACCAGGGAGGACCATTAAATTATTTGTTGTTCGGAGTTTTGGATTTCAGAGAGAGTGAAAAGGTTCGCTCTTATTCATTCCGTTTTAATGAGAGAGCAGCATTTCCATGGTAAACCGGATTTAATAGGATTTCGAGAGGGAATCAAAACACGCCGCTAGTATATTTCCGAGGAAAAATTTTATTCGGGTAAAATCGTTTTTTTCTCACATTTTTTAGAGCTAAAAGTGCCGCCTTCCTTCTTACGCTCCGACTAATCCGTGTGCGTCTCATTAAGTGGCGTCAGTGAGAAATTTACGACGCTCTCGAATTTTTACATGAATATTAGGCAAACAAATTATTTCGGGAGAATTTTTATCGTGCGCCTAAGAAAATTATTTAAATCAAGTCACTCCGCGCAGCAGCGTTAGAACTGTCTCTCAGTTATTATTCCCACATAAATTAAGCGATGAAGTGCATCGCTGTAAAAATTTTGTGGGGCGATGAAAAATTCTGGAGGACGGTTATTTAAAACACCAGCCACTCTCAACGCACACGGAATGGAGATTTATGATTTTTCCTCGCGCTTTACAGACAACGTGCTCCCCCCTTGAACGATTCCAACTTATAATTTCGGGGGCAGTGTGCTCGAGGGAGTGCAATTAGAGAGAGAGGCCCGTGTATGTAAATGGAGCACCAAATTTAACAGCCGAATTTCATTAGAAGTTGCTCTTAATTGCTTCTCTGGTATTATATCTAAAAAATTGACGTTACTTAAATTTGAATGAGATTAAAATTGAAGAAGTAAAAAACTTCCCTCTTAAAGAGCTTTTTTTGTTCACCTATATTCAGCGTAGAATTTTATTTTGTACCATAAAGAGAAAAAATATAAAAAATTCGTGTGTTTTTTAAATTAATGTGAAGGATTAAAAAATAATTAGATTCACGCGGGGAACGCCTCTTTCACTGCCCCGGAGAAAATATTCCAGCTAGCTATGAATGACTTTAATTACCAGCAGCAGCAAGGAGGCGATGTATTAAATTATAAAAAGCCGCGTGCTGCTCCAGACAGGCCGAGGGCACCAGCGAAAAGGGGTTAGGCATACCTTCTTCATCTTGAGAGTCGTTAGCGCGGTAGACGAAATTGATTGCCGCCGCCGCGCGAATAATTTGCATTTTAAACGCCCTAACGGGAAACAAATTGTGCGAAATTCATAAAAAGGGGTTACTCACCGGCAACTTCGAGCGTGGCGTTTCGCGAGCGGGCCGTGCCAGCCTCGTTGCTGGCCACGCACCAGTAGACGCCGCCGTCCTGCTCCCTCTTGCCGTGCACCACCCGCAGGAAGAAGAGCGACCCGCTGGGCAGCAGCACGCGATGCGACTTGGGGTCGACGGGCGCGGTTCGCACCAACTCGCCCTGGTCGCCGCGAAACCACTGGATCGTGGGCTCGGGACGACCTTCGGCCTTGCAATTCAGCGTCACCGGCTCGTTCTTCGCCACCGTGATGTCCGACGGGTGTTCGGTGATGCGGGGTGGACGAAGCTGACCTGCAATCACAAAAAATCCAAAGATTAGTTACAGAGGATAAATGATGGGGTCTTTTTTATCTTGGAAGTTTTGGCAAAATTCTTGCGAGTGGTGGCGCTGTTTTCTCAACAATTCAATTTACTCGAACAAAATGTTTTCAACAATTGAACCATTAATTAAACAATGTAGAAAAATAAGGAACTATATCAAATTGTTTTTTTTCTTTTTTAATATATTCATAAGAAAAATACCATATTCATAAATTTCCTTTTCAATAAAGTCAATATAATAGTTAAATATGTTTTGATTATGCTGGCACTTCTGGCTTACTTTGATTATATTATAAAAAAGTAATCCAAACTATTATGATGTTTACAATTAATCATCAATCATCTAACAGACATAATATGCTTTATCACATAATTCATTGATGGCTACGTTGACAGCAATTTATAATTTATTTTTGATTTGTATTTGCACAAAATAATATTGCGTGGAACTTTTTTTTGGCAAATAAATAATAAAAACATGTTGGCGATTGAAATGTTTTGAATAAAAAATTTTAATTAATTTTTTAATGATTTGTATGTAAGTCATAAAAAACATTTTTTTTAAAGTGAAATATTAGGGACAAATTATTACTACTTTAATTTTTATGAAACTTTTATATGCAAATATTTGCTTTTTGCAATCTATTGCATGGCACCATAGAGTTCAATAAAATCGGTATGGTATGCGCTGGAATTAAACTAGAAGATAATTTATTTAGTAAATTCTAGCATGTACATTTTGGCACTTATTCTTTATATCTTTTGTTTAAATATCTTTAGGGAGAAATAAAATGATCTAGCTGGCACTGAATAATTATAATATGTAGTGGGAACAACTATTTATCCCAATGCCATATCCTCATTTTTAAAAATTTTCCTCTCAATAAGCAGTTTTGATGTCACTTCTGAACACCGCCATTCAATTCCAGAGACTTGATAAAAGCAAAAAAATGTCTGAATTCGACAGCTGCCAACAATTAACCTATTTTCGTCTGACGTCTCACAGAGAATGCAGCTAACTTAATTTTCCTCCTTTCGACTGGCAAAAAATTCTCCTCATCAGTGGCAGACTTTTCCTTTCTATCTCGGAAAAGAAAAATGGATCCCACGCGCGCAACAAATGCCGAAAATGCTGTTTTTTCCCGTCACGCCAGCGTTTTTTCAAGACATGATTAATCTACTGGTTGAGTTTTCTTTCGGTCCGACTGTCAGCAGAAGCTTAGCCTCTAATGCCGAACGTGTAATCCCCGCTATAGATAATTTGTCTTTAACTACAAAGCAACCACCACTGCGTGTCTCCTTGTGTGTAAACAGACAGTGCCACCGAAATCATTTTTCCTCCATTCATCTTTCTGCTTTTTCTCGCGCTCGGTCCCAAATGACGCCTTTTTATATATAGCAAAGTAGCGTCACGTTCCTTGAGAAACTACGCAGAGCCCGGAGGCACTTTTGATATAAAAAAGTACACAAAGTGTAAGTACTGTCAACGGCTGCCGCCTCTCAGTCTTTGTCATCCGACCCTGGCAGCAAATTTCGTCCCCCAAGGGTGTCAAAATTTAGGGCCGACGACTTGGTACAAATTGCTTTTGCCCAACTTTTTCACTCCACAATTTCAACTCCGGAAAGTTGATTTGTACAAAATTAAAAAAAAAATATAATAATTAAATTTCAACGCAGTTCTTAAGATAATTAATAAGACTGTCTGAATGCTTTTAACACCAGCATGGAAGATTAAAGTCTACGTCCCCGTTCGTCGTCGTCTCAGTTTCTAACAATGTGAGACACATAATACTCCCACTTCTCACTTTACGGGCGACTGATACACCAATACTCGGAGACGCCGGGGCTGCACTTCAAAGCGTTTCACAAAGTCGGCGACTCCAGCGTGAGCCTGAGCAGCTGCCACCCCAATCCATCTTTACTCTAGAAATAAAATCTTTTTATATCACATGTCGCTGCACTGCTCCCGCGCCGTGCATGTGCACACACAACACGGCATTATTTGATTGACACAAAACAACTTCCTGCGACGCCGACGACGCTCTCTGCATTATTTTTTTTCCTTTGCATGGATGTGTGTGGCTCGACACCAGCAGAGACGTGTACGGCTTTAAAGTACATTATTATTCAAACACGATCGATATGTTTGTGTGCTGTTTTTTGCCTCCGTTTGCATGTTATTCGGATATACCAGTCACAATTCGCCTTCAGCTTGCTTTTTCATTCGCCCGCCAGAGACGGAGCACAATGGCACACACACACAGAGACGCGCGCTGATGGATAACTCGATTTGTGTAATGGAATTTTTGCGACGTCTGAGAGTGAGCGAGCACCAAAGCAAAAAATTTAATCCCTCCAACTTGCAGTATATACTGGGAAAACGTCGAGCTTGTTTTGCATATTTGTGATGCACATTTCTAAGTATTAAGAGTGATTGAATTATATTTCCCTTTTGAGAGGAAAATGGAGCACTTCTGACTATTGAGTGAAAACCGGTGGAATTAAATTTTTTTTGCTAGAATGTTATAGAAAAAAAATGCAGCGGGATAATGGTAACAACTTGTTGCTAAGTAGGATATAACGATATAAAAAATTGTTCTTTGGATGATTTGAACATATCAAAATATTAAATTGGTATAAAAAATTTTAATTTTAAATTCCAATTGCCAAACATAATATAATTGAATTCAAAATTCAGCGTTGTTTTAAAAGTATATTACTCGATATAATATTAGATTGAGTAATGATCTAGAAATATATGAGTAATATTAAAAAAAATAAAAAAATTCGTGAGGATTAGTTCTTTCTTTTTTTTCTAAAGTATTTAAAAAAATTAAACCTCACATTTACTATAAATGAAAATTGCTTTTTTTTCTTTTTTTTTATTTATTTTTTTATTTTTTTTTTTTTTGATATTTTTGCGATCAGTATGCGTTTACTCTCGGCCGTTTTTAAACCCTTGATTTTTAGAAGAGACAATTTGCAACTAAATAGCAATTTTAAAAAAATATTTTTAAACCCTCTATATAATTTTATTACAATGTTTTCATTCTACTAATACATAAATATTGTAATTAATACAAAAATTAGGAGGAAAGATCAACAAAATGACTACAATTTATTTTGTTGGAATTAAAGGAATTTCATTTCAAAATCTTCACTGCAAAACATGCAGGCTACCAGAGTTGTTTTATTTAGTAATTTGCATTCAAAATAATTCAACCCCCTCTGCGACAGCAAAAACTTGGCGCTCAGCAAAAGGTCAACGAGCAATTGTGCTGCACCTTTCCTCATAATGAACTGCTGAGAGCGGCAAATTTGCTTAGGTGGGCAAATATTTTCCCCATAAAGCCCCGCATAAACAACCCCAAGAAAGTCATTAAGCCTGCTCTCTCTCCACCCACCCATATGCAGTCCGTAGCACTCGACAAAAAGCGCCGAGAGAGAACATGTGTGCGGGCTAGAGAAAGAGTTGAAATTTATATCTGCGCTCTCGGCACGTATAATTAACAAAAGCCGCACATGCAGGGCGGAATGCGGCTCTGCACGTGCAATTTAACGCCAGTGCCCCGTTCGCACCAAAATCCAGTTAATTCGGCCCGAGGCGGCAAAAGCGACGGTGGGTGGCTAATAACGAACGTACTACGTGCTTGTCGTTTAGCTCAAATATTTATTTGGCGTGTAATTGCTGATAAGGGCGATCTACATGCTCAGCTGACTGCTGATGCATGATGCCCAGCGAGCCGTTTCATTTACTCGAAACAAGCCTCGCTCGCGCGCCTAATTTATGCTCTCGCGCTGTGTGTGTGTGATGGCTCGTCCTCTCGCCACGAGTAATTGCCTTTTACTCTCTTTTATAAATAATCACCGCCAACAATGGCCGTATAATCAAGCGTCCCTTTGAGCACCAATATCCCGCCAAACCAGCTAGTCATCGGCGAACGCTAAACGGCGCCGCTTGGGTCAGTAAGTTTTTTTACGACATTTGTCCATTATGTGGAAATTTGTTGCCGTTCGACCTAAAATGTAGTGTACATGTTCGTGCAAGTTCGTGGAAGGAATTTTCATTTATAATGCGGTATGTATTTTAAAATGGACTTTACATTTTTTATGAAATTATAATAATGCAATACCTTGACTGGTGTTCCAGAATAAATTTCCCAAATGGCTAAAAATTATTCAACAAAAGAGACTTTTTTTTAATAGAGTTTGTTGAACTCAAAATGAAAACGTGCATATTAAGAAAACTCTATTTGATATAATGAAGTAGAAACAAAGTTAATTTTAACGTTTACCACTTCAAAAACATAACCTTTTTGTAGGTATATAAGTATTCCAACTCTGCAAGCATCAGTTGATCTTTTTTAATTTTTTTTTTTTACACGCGGATAATTGGCTGCGGGGATTTTGAACGTGTTAATTGTTCAACCCTCTTTTATTTTACGAGCACCAGCAACAATGGCGCTGCACCGAAATTATCCCAAGCTAAAAAAGTCTCACCAACCGAGCTGGCGTCGTAAAATCCAAATGAACACGTAACGGGCAGCGGCAATTAATTAAAATTCATTTTATTATTTCGACTGTAAAATTTTATCCATTCCTTTCCTTTTGAGCGCCGGCATGGAAACGACTGCTTATAATGTACAAGTCTTGTTAGGCGCGCGATAGTAAAATAATAAATTACCCGCTTCGGGAATGGGACAGAGAAGGTATATCTGTTATATAAAATGCATCCCAAAGTTTTTCTGAGACAAATTACACGGCTTGGGAGTGGTCCCTTTTCTATATAACCGAGACGAGAGAGAGATGGTCACAAATATAATAAACTGGCGCCTGCTGGCCGAAAAATCGAGGCCGCCTCCAGCTGCGGCAATTTTTTCACTTTCATCTGCTGTGGCGTCGCCCACGAGCTGATATTAAAATCACAGAGTGGAATTTCATGCTTTGGTAATCTAATTAAAAGTTCAATA